CGACCTTTGGAAGGGGTAGGGTTAGGGTTGTGATTAGTGTTACATTTTTGGGTTGTGATTAGGGTTAGGGTTAGGGATGAAAACCTATAGGAGTTTAAGATATTCTTCAATATATTTCTTTTTCTTCAGTTTTTCCGACAAATTTATTTTTTGTTTTTCTGACTAATTTTTTAATTTGAAAATGGCTACGTGGTAACTCGAGACGATGGGGAGACTGCTGAAAATATTGGATAGTAGATAGTTGGAGATGGGACATGTATTTGTGGGGAGGAGTCACCATAGGTCAATGGGAGTCACTTGCAGGTCGGAGGTTCTCGCGGGAGTTCGAAGTATCTCGATAATTCCGAAAAAAAATAGTTCCGAAAAACAGAAAAACAAAATTACTAAGAAAAGAAAAGTTTTTTTTTTTTTATGTAATACGCTTCCGTAGCTTTAAACGTGATATAATATAAAATGTGTAAAACAATGTCTGCAGATAATAGATTCAACAAATATTAGTGTAAAAGTGACGAGTGAGGTTTGGATATAAATGTAAAACAGATTCAAGAGATGAATGTATTTTATTAATGTGTCAGTTTCAAAGTGTGATCAGAGTAAAAACATCTTTTAATAAACCAAACTGTCCTCGTCTCTTTCAGGCGTACGACGCCACCGTGCTGGCCGGGTCGTACTCGGGTCCTCAGCTCGACATCCTCATCGATCAGGGCCGCGATGACCAGTTCCTGTCGGCCAGTCAGCTGCTGCCCGACAACCTGATCGCCGTCTGCTCCGAGAAGAAAATCCCCGTGGTGTTCAGACTGCAGCCGGTCAGTCGATCTTCAGCATCCAAAACATTTATCTTAAGTTTAAACAAACACGAACATTGAACTCAAAACTTGAATTCAACTTTATTATCTGTTTGTGATACAGTGGAAAAGAAATAAAGAAAAAACTATCATCTCAAAAGATTCGAATAAAAAAGACCTTGACTAGAAATAACAATAGATTTATAAAAGAACAACAAAAAATTCCTAAATGTATAATTATATATTGATCATAAATCACTGATGTGAAAACAACAGTTCAATGTTGGGTTTTTTGTTTTATCTTTAACCATGTGCTGCCCCCATGTGGCCACATCTTCAGGTGTCGTAACGATGATTTTAATGGACAATCTACTTCCTGTTTACACCACATGACCTGTGAATGGTCATGTGGTGTGTGTTTATTTGTGACTTGGAGCTCAAACTCTCGTCTGGACAGAATTTGATTTAGTTTGAAAATCACACGTTTGTGGATGTTAAAGAGCGACATCATGTTTTTGTGCTGAGTCATGGTCGTCACAAACGTTGGTGGTAAAAAGTTTGAGGTTTCTCATTAAATCTGAAGCTTCGTGAACCAAAGACGTTTTACTCATCGAGGATTTTATCATCAGCTGAAGCTTTGTACGACATTTGAAGTCATCAGAGCTTTTTCACAGATTTCTGACATCGTGTGAACAAAGTGATGAACGTGTTTAAGTTTGTCTGTTTCCTCCTGTAGGGCTACGACCACAGCTACTTCTTCATCTACTCTTTCATGAACGACCACATCAAACATCACGCTAAGTTCCTGAACGCCTGAAGACGAAGCTCTGCTCCGTCGTCACCATCACGAGCCGCAGACTTTCTTTCCCTGAGACTCCGAGATGTTGTCTGTGAATCAGTCTGTGAATCAGTCTGTGACGTCTGTGCCTTCAGTCACCTTCACAACTTCAGAGTCTTCAGTTGTTCTTGTTTTGTCTGTTTTACTTTAAACATGTCGTTTGTCGTCACTGCACCAGGTTTTCTGTTGATCTGACAAATTTAACAGACTTGATCCAAGAGTAGAAAAAATCTGAAAACAATTAAGAAGT